AATGCTATAACTTGTATAGTGTATATGATAATTTAATAGTAAAGTTAAAGCTGCAGTAACCCTTAAATCAACAAACCTATATACTGTAAATTAAATTATATTTGCCAAGTTCATTATAATATACTTTTTAGCATAATAATATTTATTTTTTTATTTTAATTTCTAAAGTATAATAGAAATAAAGCAATATCAAATTATTGTTTTTGATATATTATCAATAAGATAGCTGTGTATTATACAATGCTATGCAGGACCAGTATGTTCATGTATAGGGTAAATTTATAAAAGCTATGTCTAAATAGTCTAGAACTTTATACTTACTTATTATGCATATTAAATAAGAATATAAATAGTCTAATAAAACAAAAAGTTTTTTGCATTGCCTGTAATCACGACTATAAAAATTCTTTTATAAACTTACTTGTGACCACAGTACTTCATGTAGTTAAGATAGAGTTAGTTTGAGTTTAAGTATGAATTATCATAAAAAATTCTATTACAGAACTTAAATAATATCCTGATAATTACAGTACTGTATATAGTTAAGGTAGAATTAGTTTAAATTATTGTAATATCACTATAAAAAAATTTGTTATAAATCTTACTTGATACATCAGTGATTACAATACTGTATGTAGTTAAGGTAAAATAAGTTTGGATTAAAATTCTGGTCTCTGCCAGAAAAAATTTTGTTACAAAACTTATCTGAAGCCTTGGCAACTATAGTGTTGCATGCAGTTAAGGTTGAATTAGTTTGAGTTGAATTATAAATTATTATGATCTCCACTATAAAAATTCTGTTACAGAACTTACTTAATACTCTAGTGACTACAGTATTGTATGTAGTTAAAGTTGAATTAGTTTGAGTTTAAATTATGAACTATCACAGTTTCTATTATAAATTTTTTGTTACTGAATTTACTCAATATCCTGGTGATCACAATACTGCATGTAGTTAAGGTTAAATTAGCTTGAGTTTGAATTAAAATTATCATGATTTCTATTGTAAAAAATTCTGTTTCAGAACTTATCTGATATCTTAGTGTTTACAGTACTGTGTGTAATTAAAATTGAATTAGTTTAAGTTTGAATTGGAATTATTGTAATCTCCATCTAAAAAAATCTATTAACAACTTTCCTGATACCTGTGACCACAGTACTGTGCACAGTTAAATTAGTTGGAGTTTGAATTATGAATTATTGTAATTTCTACTATAAAAGATTTTGTTACAAAAATTACCCAATACTCTGGTGATTACAATACTGTATGCATTTAAAGATGAAATTAGTTTTAATTGTGAATTATTATAATCTCTACTATATTAAAGTTTGTTATAGAACATACTTGATACCTTGGTAACTGTAGTTCTGTGTACAGTTAAGATTGAATTAGTTTGAATTAGAATTAGAATTAAAATTATCATGGTCACTACTATTAAAAACTGATAGAGCTTACCCAATATCCTAGTAAAATTATAGTACTACATGTGGTTAAGGTAAAATTAGGATGAGTAATAAATTATTGTAATTTCTATTATAAAAATCTGTTATAGAACTTACTTGATATCCTGGTGACAACAGTACTGCATATGGTTAAGGTTGAATTAGTTTGAATTAGAATTAGAATTATTATGATTTCCACTATAAAAAATCTGGTACAAAACTTATAAGATAACCCAATGATTATGGTTTTGCATGTGGTTAAGATAGAATTAGTTTGAATTATAAATTATCATGATCTCTACCATAAAAAATTTTAATACTCTGGTGTTTATAGTGTTGTGCACAGTTAAGATTGAATTAGTTTGAGAATTATTGTCATCTCTACTATAAAAAATTCTGTTATAGAACTTACTTGATATGTACCTGGCAATTACAGTATTGTATACAGCTAAAGTTAAATAAGTTTAAATTAAATTATTTGTGATCTTCACCATAAAAAATTCTGTTAAAGAACTTACCTAATATTTAGACAACCACAGTATTTCACACAGATAAGATTAAAAATTAATTTGAATTAGTATTATTATAATCTCAATCATAAAAAATTCTGCTATAGAACTTACCCAGTATCTGGTAATTACAGTACTGTATGCAGTTAGTTTGAATTAGAATTATCATGATCTTTTACTGTAAAAAATTCTGTTACAGAACTTATCCGATATCTGGTGACCACAGTATAGTATGTGGTATTACAATTATAAGTCAATTAGTCTGGTTTAGCTTCAATTGTAAACAAGTTTGGGTTAATATCAAATAATTTGATCATAAAACTTGATAATTATTAATAGATAACATCATATTTGTATTATATTGAAATTAATAATAAATACATAACATCATTTGCATCATGAACCCGACAAATATAAATCATACAGGGTGGTCTCCAAATTTCTGGTTCGGAGTGCGTCGGGTGCACCAGAATCCTGGTCGGTTAAATCGGAATTGATTAATGTTGCCCAAGATCACTAAAAATTTTACTAATGAAACCATAGCATTTACTACGTAAAAAATGCCTAGCTGATAATTTTGTTATAGAACCTCTAACTACTAGGGCTAAATGCCGAAGATATGTCTGTCAGAATTGGATAGCAATACAGGTGCCTGCGCAGATTATTTCAATCCCGGTCATCTGATCGGCTATAGCAGTGATGATCATACAATGCACAAATATGGAATGCCGATCAGATACCGATACCAAGAACCGTATTGGTATACGAAATACACAATACTGTACTACAGTACTAATAAAGGTTATATTGTTGCAATTTTTTTTCTATTAAACTTTTTTATTACTGTTTGAGGTGCTACAAAAAGTCACAAGAGATTTTTATCCAATCAGATGCCGAGAATCGCACACATCATTTCACTCGCCTGTAAACCATACACTACGTACTTTGTACTCCGTTCCTGGTATAAAAATTAAATTAAAACTTATATTACTGGTTATTTAGTTAAAATACGATTTTTTATTAACCAGTGAATGCTTTTCGACAAACAAACAAAAAAAAAAAAGGAAAAAAAAATTAAAAATGCATAATTTGTGCAAGTATAATACCGGGAGAAGGCTTCGAACAATAATTTTTATACTTTCTACATTCTGCCTTCTATATTTAACTTTGGTATTTTTATCATTCCCATTCCTATCACCGGATGAAAATAAAAACGATCTAATAATACTACCGCCACTTCCTCCTCCATCAATTTCATATTGGTCAATTTCACAATGGCCATCTGATATAAGATATGTGCCTTGTATACCAAAAATATATGTTTATAAAATTCCAGAAAACTTGAAATCTCAGAGTTATTACGAATATGAAATATGTAAAGGTTCGAATTACAATGTTGAAGTGACACTTTACGAACAGCTCATCAAATCTGGAAAAATTAATGACTTGTATGTAACTTCTAACCCTGATGAGGCCGATTTTTTTTTCATACCATTTTTTGGCTCTTGCTATTTAATGAATTGTTGGAATACTAACAATTGGGATTATACCAAACGATGTGAAATAGAGGAAAAATATTCGATTCCTTTAATGAATTGGGTAATTAAGGAAAACCCTTATTGGAATAAAACTAATGGAAGGAATCATATCATGATTCATCCTATGGATCGAGGTTCACTTTATTATCCAGAAAGTCAAATTTTTATGTTGAATGCCAGTTTCTTAACAGTTATTGGTGATAAAAGAATTTCTGGTTTTAGGGAACATAGGTATCGACATATGCAAGATATAGTAATTCCTTCAGTTACTAGGATTTTGAATGTGGCAAAAATTAATCCAAGGGATTATGTTGATGCTGATGGAAATAGGAATAATAGAGATGTTTTTGCAATGTTTTGGGGTTGTTGTCAGAACGTTAAACCGGATGACGAATATTCTCTTGGTATTAGGTCGATATTGTTTAGTGGATTGGCAAAATCTCCAAGGTATAAGATTGATGAAGAAGTGAATCATACACATGAAGATTATGCCAAGTTATTGACGAGAGCAAAATTTGGACTCGCACCTCAAGGATGGACTTTAGATACTACTAGGCTTTGGGAATATTTAGCTTTCGGTGTTGTACCTGTCATAATTGCTGACGGAATAGTACTACCTTTTGAAAATGATGTTGATTGGAAAAGGTATCCTTTATTTCTCGAACCTTAAATTGGTAAATGAAAATATATTAACGTAAAATTTTTATTTTTCTAGCATGGCGGTTTTCATTCGTCGAGAAGATGTACATCTTACCGATGAGATATTACTTTCGATAACTGAAAATGAATATCAACGAAAAAGACAACGTGTGTGGGAAATAGGTAGTCAGTTATATAAAAATTCATGGCATTATATTGCACGAGATTTATGTAGAAAGCTGGATCGAGTTGTGCCCACTGAGTTGGACTTGTAAGAAATTGCTTACAAATTTTGAAAAGCATTTAGATGTACAACATATGTAAATTTTTATGATTTTGAAATTAAATATTCTAATAATTTATAGGCAAATTTACATCATTTGAATATTAACCTACTAGATTAAGAATACATCAGTACTTGCCGCAAAACTCTTGAGATTTGACCATCGAACACCAAGGCAAGTTGATTGACAAATCATGTTTAAAAACCTGTATGATAAATTATATAAATCCCAAATATGTCTTAATTTAAAATTTTGACCAAATTTCAATACATATCCAAAGTTCTGGCGAATTCTAAGCAAATCTTTAAATCCAAATTTCATCCTAAATCCAATTTAAAGCTAATAATTATCACGTTGATTGAACTTCATCACTGTTCAGTTAATTTATAACAAATTATATCAAATTCGCAGTAATGCCTTAGATTACATTGATAGCGTAAATGAAATTTTGCCGCAATGCATTTTAGATTACACGGATAGAATATTAACTTAATTTTAAAGAATTGTTTTTTGTTAATAGTAATTTCCACATCAGATCCTAAATAAAATATAGTTTTTTCATCAATAATAAGCTAAATTTTCAAGTTTTTTTTTCTATTCAATTTTTAAAATACAATGCACTCTCTCAAATCCGATACACATGGTGGGTAGCTTTTGTATCGGGTTTGAGAGGTTATCAGATTTAAAATATTAATGCTGTCACACACGTATGAATTTACCTCAAGAACACCCCGAAAAACCCTGCCAAGACACTCGAAACTCCCAATTTATATAATCAGGCCCAGTGTTAATTTTTTAATTAAAATCCGATTTTACGGTTGGGATAAAATCTGAATTTGAATTCGATCCAATTTGAATTTTCGAACACTAACGCTGTCATTTCTTTAGTATAGTAAGTTGCCAGTATACATTGAATTTGGATGCTCTTGTTTGATTTCTGGAGATTTTTTTGACTTTTAAGGAACTTCCCTTTTATACATAATTTACCAGTCTTATAATTTATAGATTCATATATTTTTTTAGCTAATTTGATGTAACAATCAGGAGTTTGGTGCGAATTCTGGTCGTAAACCTTTAATATCTTCATCGTGAGTTTCATATCGAAGTCAAATCGTTTATACTTATATTCTAGCTTCATTAGATATTACAATCATAGTTGTTAGGATGACAGCTACTTCCGCAAGGAAATTTATTTTTTTACATTTGCAGTGAATGTTTTTACATTTACTCTTACTCTGCATTTCATTATATTGCCGATTTGCGACGTGAATTGTTTTATCTTTTTATATATTATGACAGGTTTCAGTTAGATTTAACATGAAAAATAGAATCGGTTCCTAACTCTAATTTCTCATACGCTTATAGAGGAACATTAGATAATATCTATTTCCAGAAGTCACCCAAGCTCTAAAGAACTTCAATTGCATTAAGAACACCAGATTTACATCCAATTCAATGGAATTTAAATGTTCCAAGATTTTGTAAGTCTAATGTTTTTCCTGGCCCAATAACGATCTTTTGTGTCTAATAGCGTATTTAATAGATATTGTAAAACTTTAATGCAGAATTCACAATCATGTGTAATAAAAGCTTTACGACACCGATTTAACGGATTTAATATTGAGAAAGTTTTTAATTGTATTTCGTGATAAAAATGAATTTTTATTTCTGCAACTCGGTTAATTTTAAAAGTGTATGAAATGATTAATAAACGAAATAAATGAAAAGAAAACTAAATAATTAATACAAAACTATGGGTTGCGGATCATAATGAAATCGGATTAAAACGAAATGGAGTTTCTATTTAACCGTCTGAAATCCACTTATACTTGTTTATTATAAATTCTACCCTAGCTGCGATGCTGTTCACGCCTGTTGCTGATCATTATTAGTATAAGAAGCGTAAGCATCGCATAAAAAATGTAACGATCGATTGTAAATTAGTAATTATAAATGAGAAAAAAATTTTTTTTTAAATTTAATAAAATTAATTTTCTTTGTTTGAAATTGCTTATTGTTATAACAAACCACTATGATATCAAGTAAAACATGCGAATTGGCATGACATTTACTAATATGGAAGATGTTCGTTCAACTTTAGAGAGCTGTTCTATTGAAACTTTGCCTGATGAATAATTGTGCTAGTTTAGCGCTACGTTTATGCAATATTTAAGCGAAAATGATTATAACTAGCACTTCATTTATCCTTTGATCTAACAATCAGTATATAGATAACTCTGAAAAAAATGTCTATAATAAACAATCGATAATCCTATAATCACGATTTTGCTATCGTTATAAGCCTATGATCTGTTTTTTTTCAGCTTCAACAGATTCGGGCCCTTATATGTAATATTTTTTAAAAATTAGGCCTTATATGCTATTATTTTTAATTTTGGCCCGTATCTGTAATTATTTTCACTTTCCGGGTCCTTATTTGTAAATTCCCCTAAAATTATCATAGTTACAAATTGAATAAGCTCAATTTAAATTTTTTTTTTCTGGAATTTTATATTTTTCGAGATTTATTATACTGTAGGTCCAAGTACGTCAACATTATTGTTAGCTTAATTGTTAGTTTCATTATTAGCTTCATTGTTAGCTTCGTTGTTAGCTTCATTGTTAGCTTCGTTGTTAGCTTCTTTGTTAGCTTCATTTTTGGCTTCATTTTAGCCTCATGGTTAGTTTTATAATTAGCTTCATCGTTAGCTTCTTTAGCAACTTCATTGTTAGCTTCTTTAAATAATTCCACTACCTCATCAAAATCTTTTTCATAAGGACTTTAAAATTCATATTATTAAAATTATTTAAGTACTTGGATAGATAATTAAATGAAATACACTATAAAACCTTTGTAGTATTCATTATTACTCGTCATAGAAAATGTGTTTGACCTTTGCTTGAATCAATTTTTTGAGCAGTCTTAAAAATTTCAAATTAACATGCTTAGTATGCGTTAAAGGAAAAGGTAAAGATCATTGTAACAACATTACATACTAATACACGGAGAGCTAAATAAATAAATAAATATATATATATATTAAACGTCTGATAATTGTATATATTTTATTCATATTTCAGTGTTTGATAGCTATCATTAACGCATTTTCCTCCGTGTGTATACATTTACAATAATTCTTATTTTCACCTTTGCAACTTTTACAATTATCTTCAATACAATTTTTTATACCTTTGGGTGTTCTATTATATCCAGTTGCAATTGCTCTATAATCGTCTTTAGCCAATACAAATCAAACCTTTGTTCGTGATGCTACCAAACGGTGTATAAAATCTTTGTGCACAATGTGCTCATGAGCACATACTTTTAAAAGGTTTCACATGTTTTTAGCTAGAAATGTGCACGAAATTCACAAGATTTCTAACCACATAGTGCACCAAACTTATTAATAAAACCTTAACTATGTGCATATGGAGCACATTGTGCACACAGTCTATTTTTATATATGTAAATTAAATAAAATATTTATATAAAATGTTTTATAGTATTATAAAAATTTATAGTGCACTAATTTTTAAAATTATTCACATAAATTAAG